CCTGCAATGTCATCTCCCCGGTTCCCGTTCCTCGTCCCGGGCTCCCAAGAGTAGTGATGCGCGTTGAAGTCACCCGCGATCAAAGCTCGCTCCGGGGGTTTGAGTTCTAGCAGTATCCCTGTTGTGCGGCTGTGGGGGTCGCGGGGTTGTCTGTACACGTTGACGATAGTCGTCGTTTTGTCGACCACCAGCCACAGTACGTCTCTCGTGTGGACAGGCCTCTGCTGCTCCACCGTCATCCCTATCCCTTTGCGTGTGTAGGTCAATACTCTTGGTCTGGTTCCTTCGCTGTCCCAGAAGTCGACCGGGACGAAAGAGTCGAAACCCGGGTGCGTGTTCAGTTGCACGTTTCCGTCCTTCCAGCCCGTCCAGGGTTCCTGGACGAGGACCACATCTATCTGAGCCTCCCAGCAGAGCTGCAGGAAAGCCGTGTGCGCCGGGGAGATCTTTCCGACGTTGCCCTGCGCAACGCGTAGCATCCGTGGGGTCGCCGCTCTCGGCTTACGTCTCCGAGTCGAGTTCGAGGTGGGTGTAGGCATTCGCGACGTTGTAGTTTGGCTTCTGTGCTGCCCGTTGGCTCCTGCTTGGCATGGGTAGCACGGGACGGTCGATGGAGGTGTTGTCGGGGGAGTCTTCGCCTTCGCCTTCGTCCGCCTCGTCTTCATCCATGCTGCTGCTGTCAGTGCTTCCGTCACCGAGGCAAACGATCGAGCTTGCGGAGGGCGTTCTCGTGCGCGCGCGCTTGGCGCCGGGTTGCTGGTTCTGGCTGGTGGAGGTAGGGACGCCTGCCGCCTCCTGGCTACTGTCGGATCGAGTAGCCTTGTACAGAGTGTCCGATGCTTTCTGGCCGGCCTTCCGGATCCGAGCCCGCTCCTTTCGACCGGGAAGGGAGACGACGCCGTTTACGACCGAGGGCCTCGCTGGGCAGTCTGTGTGGCCGGCTTGGAAGGGGCCGCAGCAGTTGGGACACTGGGGCCTGGCCATGCAAGGTCCCGTTTCGTGTGAGTCGGAAGGTCTTCCGCAGTTGCTGCAAGTCGGTCGTCGTCCGCAGAACCGGTTGGCGTGGTAGCCCTGGCAGCCGGGGTCATGTCGGATGAGCGTCCTTCGTTTTTTGATGGGCAGAGATCTGCCGCTTTGGTTGAAGAGCCTGAAGGGCGTGACCTCTGATGTGAATGATATGAGCCAAGATATTTCGTTCGTGACTGGGTTGGGCCCAAGGCGGGACGGTCGAGCAAGGACAGGCTTCTGTCCTGTCTGTGCGAAGACCTCATCTTCAACGAGTGTGGCTGGGTCCAGGACGTCCCCGCCAATGCTGTGTAGTTTTGTTGGGCATCGCGGCACAACGTATGTGTGCCACTTGATAGGCGTCTCGACTTGGTGGGCGCCGAGGCATTCCGCCAGCTTTGCCTTACTTGTAAGTAGTCTTTCCTGTATTTGCTTGTTTCGCGGCTTCAGAGAGTAACCTGTGCTGATATGGTAGACGTGGGGAAGGTCCGCTAGCCCCAGGCCAACGGCCTTACAGACGATCTGTCGTACGGCGAACGGTGCGATCTTCCGAGCGGCCGCTAAGCTTTCTTCCGGGACGCGGGCAAAGATGCGGAGGTCCTCCTTCGGCTGCGCCTGCGGCTGATCCTCGGCGGGGAGTGTGGCCTTCGGGCGGGCAGAGCTCTGGCAGCTCTGGCCGCTCCGGGTCGCCGCAGTGGTGTTGCCCGCCATCGGTGCGACGACAGCCGCCCAACTCCGGGCCGCTATTGGGCTTGTCTCGTGATTGATCAGTCTCTTGAGGGTTTGAATGACATAGGCAGTGGCTTCTTTCGCGATCTGCTTTCTAGAACCGTCAAAGCTGGCGACAACGCTGTCGACGGACCGTGCAATGGTCAGAAAGACGTCTTTCCGTGCCTCGTACTGTCTAGCTTCTTCTGCAAGGGCTGTCAAGACGGACCCTGTGGCAGATCCGCTCGGAGCAGATGCGGTAGAGGCTGCGGGCCCCTCGGCCGAGGTAGGGGCGTCGGTGGTGGCATCAAGCTGGCTTCCCGTTAGGCTGGGCCGGGTCGGCTGTGCCTCGGCGTCGCGGCGTCGCTTAGCTCTTGAGGTGGGGTTCGGCTCCGGAGGTGTCCCGGAGCCTGGTTCGGGGTCGGCTTGGTCGGCCGACATCAGTCCGGTGCCCGACGGCGGCTGTGAGGCCATCGCGGATGCGGGCTCCGGCAAGGGGAGGTGAAGAGTTTTCGGCTGTTAGTAATTTGGTGGTAGGCTCACTCATTCACTAACAGCAGATGCCAAGAAAAATTAGGCGAGAGGGAAGTTGAGGCCGTCCCAGTTGTCTAACCCGCGAGCGAGAGACTTGACAACCAGAGCAACCCAAAAGAAAACGCCTTCTGACTTCTGCGAGATAATCTCAATCAGATTCGCAGCCTCCGTTTGATGGGTTTTCAGTAAACTTTGATAATGGTCATGCTGTCCCAGGACGTCGCGCACGTGGATTGCCATATCTTGAGCTGTCAGCTGGTCCATCCTGATGCGGGTGATGGGGTTGCCGTAAGCATCTTCGAATATCCGCAATGGCCGGCTTGCACAGCAAATCTTTATGCCAGAAGTGTGAGCCATGTTGTCGAGAAACTTGAGTAAGTCTTTGTGGTCACCCTTGTACTCGTCAAGCCCGTCTATGAACATCAAGATGCGCTTCGTAGATAACGAGGCGCCCCCGAGACGTTCAAAAACATCAAGTAACTCCTCGATTGTTCAGGAGTCAAGCGTGTGTGTCGGACTGGCGCACCTCTCCGGGAAGACATCGGGTATGAGTTCCGTGCATTTCACCATGATCTGGAACAGCAGCGCTCTGAGAAGACCTTCTTGGGAACTTTGAAGGCAATTTCTGATACTCCAAAAGAAGTGGCTAGCAATAACAAGTTGATGCGAGCCCGCCCAAGTGTTGGCTAGCTGCGACGTCTTTCCGTGCCCAGATACGAACTTCATCAGAGTCGATTTCCCAGAACCAGGTTTTCCAGTAATCCAGAATATGCCATTTGAGCTTTGGAGCCAGGAAGAGAAATTGACATTGCTGGACTCTTGAAAAATCCATTCAAACGTGTTTTGGTGAGCTCTGGGTATCTCGGTCTGTCGTTCAATTATCTGTGCAAATCGCAGGCTTTTGAGAATTTGCAGAATGTTGCCCTGATGTTTCGCGTCCTCTACGAAGCGGGAGAGCATCAAATAAAATGCTTCCAATTCTATCGCAGACGAAGCCTCACCCAAGGACCGTACATAGTCAGATACCTCGGAACGATGCTGGCTAGAGGACTGTCTTAGCTTTGCGAGGGTTTTAGAGAGTGGAAACTAATAACAGAAGTATTTGAAGTCCCTCAAAGATTGCGGCTTTGATTTCCCGTAGTCTCTTTTGAATGTCGATGATACTATTTTCCTTGAAATACGCTCTGACGGGGAGTTTGGCCTTCGTTAACCTCGGGTATTTGCAGTCGATAGCAGTCGTTAGACCATTGGCCGCATTAACAAGTTCTTTCGAAGTTTTTGTGTAAAGCTGCAGAAGGCTCTTCATGCCGTCATCCATCTTGATGGTGACGTCTGTCTGCAACTGAACACAGCGACGCTGCAAATCTTCGGCCATGGCTTTAAGTTGGACTAATCGTGGTAACAAACCACCGTCGGTGATACTGCGACATGTACTGATGATGGAGATGGACACTCTGAGCCCGAGCTCTAGGAATTGGATAACGTTGGCTGCAACGCCAAGTGCCGCTAATTCGGCCATGATGAGAGCGACTTAGCAGCGAAGGAATGCTTCTCGTCTTGAGATTTCCATCGACACCGCTTTCGTACGGATGATGAAGCTGAGAAGATCCCAATACGAGAGGCTGCATGGTTTGAGCAATAGGTTAGGCTATCAGCTGGAAGATCTTGGCAATGGCCACGCACGCCGACAGCCCCTGGCACGTTCCCGTGAATGTTGCAGGCGGCTGTAGGCCCAATTGAAGTAGCGAATTTTCTTATGCGATGCAGGCTCAAGCAGGCGAATCGCATGATACCTACAGTAAGTCACGTGAAGCGAAACTCACCGTAAAAGACGCTGGTTGGTTGAAGGAAAACCAAGGAGCCTATTATATTCACGCATCTCAGTGAAAGGCCGGAAATCTTGGAGTGCAGAGGAGCATGGCGAGTATCGGAGACATTCCTTACCCTCGGGCTCATCACCACGTTACATCTTGTCCAGACGCATGAGATTGCAACCAGCGAGATGTTGTCAGAATAACGTTGTTGGACGTCGGGGAGTACATGCCCACGTAACCTTGTATGCCACCGCCCCTCATTCGTTTTTAACTTTACAAATTTCTAGTAGAGTCCTGGGGAGGCAATTGATCAGGTACCTACCCGACCCGAATTTCGATTTAGAATCGCAAATTGCTGGCATCAAGATATCACTGGAAAATGTTCTTGAGACAGGAGGCAGGTCGAGGTATCAAGCAATGGAATATTGTAAAGTTTGATATCCTAGAAGCTCATTAATGAAATGCTAAGAGGGGTATCGCATGAAGCCCTGGCTACTCGAAAACATCGCCGTGGGCCAGGTTTCCGGAACCTGCCCTTAGTCCAGCCTCTTCCACCAGAGCTCTCCGCGATTGCCGCCGTCTCTTTGTGAGGAGATACGCAGAATCTTTCCATCCTCATAGAGTGTGTAGTTGCGCGCCTGGCTGCCTCCGGCCATGGATGGAACATTGGCTACGGTCAAGGGTCCGTGGATAACTTGACCGAAGGTTGCGTTCGCGGGGAACGCTTCGCTAATTCGGAGCGGCCCTGCGTAGCCGATGCTGTGCTTGCCGACGAGGGCCCAGTCGGCATCTGATTGTGAATCTTCGAAGGGGAATGTCAAGTTTGCGGGCCGGTCTTCGGGGTCTGTTGATGTGATCGTTGCGGACATGAAGCCGGACTTGCTGTAGGAGAGGATGCCAACGGGGTTGGAACCGTATGTTCGGTCTGGCACAGCGACTCCATCACGTGTGCTGCACAAGTCAAGTGTTAGATCTTGATCAATCATGTAGTTCGAACCAGCACAATCGAAGTCAACTTACGCTGAGGTGTTGAGAAGCTGGTATGTTCCCGCCAAGATGGCGAGGATCTCCGTAGGCTGCATTTTGACGTGTAAATAAGGTATTTTCTTCAAGGACGATCAAAATGAACTGGCTCAAACGATCTCGGCAGTCATTTAAGAGAACGAAGGATAAGGGCCTTTAAGTGATCAACTGCCATTGGAAGGAACACCATCCGCCTACAGCTTTAAGGGCTCGCCCAAATCCAAACATATCCGCCTCTGCACGTCCATCCGCGCGGGTATGCCCCGAAAGGGTGTGCTTCAAGCGGTTACGTGATAGGTCACGACATCTTAAAAAGCCGTTTCCTTGGAGCCTTGAAGCAAGGGTCTCCAAGCAACTTTAATCAACCTGCTCAGGCACGCAGTCTTCATGCCATGGGCTTGGAAGTGGATCGCGTGCCAAGCAATTAAACTTACGGGAATTCCCTGGGGTGCCCCCTCTACCCAAAGGTCCAGAAGCTGTAGAAGCGCTGAAAGCACCTTCCTTCGCTATCGCCATGGGTGTTAAGCGAGCAGCGGGACTGACTCGCAGATTGATGGCAAGGGTCTTTTCGCCGAGATGATGGCAAGGAAAGGGGTGGCGCGCGGCTTGAAATTGTTGTTCCGAGTTTTAACGAAGGAAAAACGACGCAAGAAACGCTTCGTTTCGTCCAAAGTTCCTTCGTTCTTGGCCTTTGAAGGCTGTGTTAACCTTGGAGAACGGATTGATAGGAAGAAGTTGGGGAAATCGAACCAAAGAGCTGGAGATTTTTGCTTGGCCTAGCTTGGCAACTTGGCGTAATGGAACTGTCACCAGGCGATTGTGGGGGACGTCGTGCGGGGTACTTCTTTGGTTGCATTCTTATTTCGAGGAAAAGTTGAGGCCCTTGATTAATTATTACTGAACCCGACCACTCCGGAGAAGAAGCACGAAGGTGACCCAAGAAGGTTATGAGCCCCGAAAGCTACCTGGGCCTTGGTGGAACGGATGAACCGGAAGGTGACCTGCCAAGTTTAACAAGGTGCCCCTGAGGATCTGTCACGAGAATGTTAATTCCTCGTCTATTCCGTGAGGGGCCACACAAATCGAAGGGGGTAGCACTGGGCACGCACGTTTTACGGCATGAAGAACAACTCGGTTGAGAACGCCAACAGACACATAAATGTCAAATCAACGATGGCAGTAGCTTCGAGAAAGTCCAAACTGATCTACCCCAGATTTGATAACCTCGTCCGGCAAATCCTCAGCTCCATTATAGTACTCGCACTCAAAGCACGTGATAAATCCGTGCAGTCGACGTTCCCAGGGCCAACATACCCGAGGGATGGAAGATTTCGCCGGAACTTGACCCAAACCCCGGAAGTCGAGGTTGAGCTGGCGTTTGGTCACGTTCTACGGGCCAGATGAGACTTGCGAGGTGACGGGGACCAAACTCCTTACTGTGTAGTCCAGAACGCGGGGATTCACCTCTGATCTAGCTACCTTACATGCAACTTCATAACCAACTAAACCTTCCAGTAGACCTTGAATGGAGTTCAGAAACCTTAGTCACATCTTGAATATTAGCACTTCTTGGCCTCTTGTCTGGTATGCTCACTCTCAAGATCATTTTTCGCGAGAGAGCTATCACCACAGGACTTTGAGATGATGATACCATTATTGATGTATGGGAAAAGGACGGCGGAGATTCAATGACTTGGACGTAGTAATAGGTGCCGAATGATTTCAGAACTACTTGAAAAAGCCTGTATGGACGAAAGAAAAAGGAAGAAAATAATTTCAGACTCTAGGCGTACACATTGATCACCTTAAAGGATCCGACATTCAGATCCTCTGCAGATCAGAAATGCTCGGATGACGGCTAGCGCCTATGAATTTGCTATGTTAGATCGTTGCTAGTCGCAGCGATCAATTCCACGTCGACTCCAATCCCACAATGATTGGACAGTAGGTCGCCTCTAGCGGCTATTGACATCAGAGACTCAAACACGGCCGAATACGCAGCTTGGCAGTCAGACTTTAGAGTCAAGTTCTTCTAGAATGAGACAGCGTCGTCGATTCTGCTCAGGTAAAACTCCGAACGGAGTTAGGCCTGGGCGGGAATTGTCAATATGGTTGCCTGATCTCAAGATCAGCTTCGCATATTAGTAGCGTCCCGGAACCCTCAAGTTATTTCCCAATCCTTGCATTCTCAAATGATCAATCGTTTATTCTGAAAAGTAAACAATTTTCCAAGCGTTTCCAACTTGGATAACTGATACCGATTCCCCAACATCAAACACAATGCCGTCCTCACGGCTATATGCAACCGTCGGTGCAGCTTTGCTCACTGCTTCGTTTGGGCTTCTCCTTGTCACTTGCATATCTGTCCCCAACACGAGTCTGTCAATCTTCACAATAGAGGCGACGAGGCGAGAAGCACGTGGGTCAACCGGACCATCCATTGTTCTTGACTTCGGGCTTTGGGGCTGGTGTCAGGCAACAGCTGCAACATGGTAAGTCACGAGCGGGACACCCCACCTTGTGATAGTTCAGTATGATATTTTGTACGAACTATCTGGGGGAAGATCGTAGTACTGACAGACCATGCTCGATCTAGGTCAAGGTACCCACAGGGATGTCTTCGAGTCGGAGGCTCAGCGAGTTATGACCCAGCCGCCATCATCCGCCCTATGATCATTGGGTTTTCCTCCTCGATAGAAAGCAGAAGAATGCGTGACTTGACCCTAGGATTCCCAATGCCTGCCGTTGCCGCTGCTACAGCTGGACTGGGTCTTCTTTTTGCACTTGCCAGCGTTGTCAAGCGCAATCGTCTCACAGCCTTGGCCAGCGCGATCCTGACGGCTTTATCATTCATATTCGTCGTATCAGCGCTTGGCTGCATCTTCTCACTGTTCGAGAAAATCAGAAAAGAGTTGCCGAGGAGTACAGATTTGCGGCTGGCTACGAACTTACGAGTTTTTCACGATATCTCAATGAAATATGGGGCTTCTACTTGGACTCTGGTTGCTGCTTGTGCAATGCTGTTGCTAAGCTCAGCAGTTTTCATATTTGCGTGGCTAGCTGAATTACGACAGGCCCGACAGAAAGTCAGTGATGATAGTAGAGAAAAGGCTAGATTCTCGCTATCAGAGGGCAGACCATCGGACGCGGGATCTTGAGTGTTCGCAGTGTACGAAGAAAAGGCCTCGCTGTAAAATTGAAAGTCTCATCGAACCGTAGATTAGCTGGGTCGCAAGTGCCACCTCACTTTCTAGATGCATCCAAGGCCTCCATTCTTTTCGCAGCATTTCGAGAATCGTCTTACTTCTTGCGGGTTTCGATAGTTCAAAGGACATGTTGCGCTGTTCCATCGACCTCCCGCCAGATAACAGCAATCGTAGCTAGCAATGCGATCTGCACGGACAGAATTCCATTTGTTGACCACAAAGATACAATTGCAAGGGAAAATATCCTGCTCTCGCATTGGGGGGGAAGTCTTTGGGATGGCAGTGGCCAGGGAAATCGTTATTCCACCAAGAATGACCATCATGAAGGAGATTGGCATCATGTTGACCTAGACTTCGTTAGTGCTGGTGCGCAACGAAATCAGAATGGTATATGACGCACCAAAGAATTCGAATGAGATGACCTACACTGAGTCTGATGGATGATGGGTGCAGTTTACCGGTGTCGTAAAAGGAAGTTATACTGGGTCGGTCGGTCGGTGATGGATGGCAATTTTCTGGGGCGACGTTGTTACTGATAGGCATATTCTTAAGTCTACGAGAGAAAGAGGAGTGCCAACACTTTATAGGAGAATTGTGATACTGATCGATGGCCAGCCAGGTTGCATTGAGGATAAGCACCCATACACGTAGGCGGCACAAGGTATGTTTAAAATGGGCCCAAGGCCAGCTCGGGCTTCCAAACCTTCCACTTAACAATAACAGAAAAAGACTTCTTCGGCTCAGGCTAATTGTACGAGTCTTCAAGAGGATGTTGATTCATCCTGCGTCTCTAGCACGCTGTTCATTGTCGCGCCTGCGCTGACACAGCTCATTGCATTGAATAAACTTATACAAACAGGCGGTCAACAATTGCTTGAACTATTTGATATGTATGTCATGACTCTGTATCCTTCTTTTTACATTGCAAGATAGCCGAAAGCGTCTTAGGAAGCTCGGGCTCTGCACGCAATGGCCTCGCCCGGTATTTTAGGGCGTAGGTGACATATGAGCGGTTATTTTAAAGCACACAAGGTCTTTTTTTATTTTATTCAACAAGTTCTCCTTATCAATTGGCCATGAAACTTACTTCTGTAATAAATTGAGTAAGGCCATTTAGCAGAAAGTATCTGTTCAACCTATCAAGGGCTTAGTTGTATCATCGTGGACGCCCCTGCCCCTTCGGCAAATTTGAAGAAGGACACGATCATGTGTTTTTCAACGTATTCACTGCAGTTATTTCATTATGCAAATAATTCGATGGATAAGATCAAATATAGCTGGCTCGGAAGCCAAAAGACGGTCGGAAAGAGGACGGAGTGAGAATTACTCTATAGAAGCATAGAATCAGCCATCCGGGATGACATCATAATTTGGGTTCGAATTGGAGCAACGCATAACGAGCCGTTGGGTACTTATCAAGCTGTCTACATGTCTGGTCAGACATCAGACGTTTCATCCTCTGAGCTACTGTCGGACATGTCCTCGGATCGTCGGGGCGACTGTTATTGCGGACTACTTAAAGGCCGAGCTCCCCGGAATCAGAGCTTGGTAGCTTTGACATCAGCGCATCAGGCTTTCGTCCGACGACCGTCGTTCTTCAGCAATCAAACAGGATACAGCGACCATGTCAACTGTCTTTCATGTCACTGTTCACGTTGCGCCGCAGGATGTCTCGAGATTCCTGCGAGCTGCGGAGCCGACAATTGAAAAGATGAAGAAAGAGTCCGAGCTGATGTATTTCGAGATGTATCAAGTTCATGACTCTCCTGGTACGATTACATGGATTGAGAAATGGTATACTCAGCCCAAGCTCATGGATGGGACTGGAGAATCTTTGCTGATATTCTTTCAGGTCAGAGCCAGTAGACTGGATAATGAAGGTTAGTTAGAGTGGCTTCCCGTCCATGGTACTTTGATTGATCGGTGCGATGACTCCGTAGCACCAAATGACGAAGGACTACTATAATGACTATTTTGACGCTACGGAACCGTTTTACATTGCGCCGAGGGAGCTGAGAATTTTGAGCTCTCTTGGACCTCGTCATACGTATCAGAAGTCGTAAAACAGACTGGACGCGCTTTGAAGCAATCTGGAAGCGGACTGGAGTTGAAGATGAATGTGAAATAGAAGAGCTGAAAATACATAGTAAGGAACTACCTCAATTGCCGTCTCATTCTACGTGAGAGCCTTGGTTTCATGAGTGGTCGACGTGTGGAGCGATGATATTGCACGTCTTGACAGGAAACATTTAATTCTTTCATTCTTACTGAACTCCTAAACTGACGCGTTACGTGGAGTGTTACCCAAGCTTTAGAGTTTCCCACAAACCATAAAAAATCACCCATTTCTTTTAAAGCATCCATACTGCCTTGATCTTGGGTAACAAGTGTCATCGCCGTTGCGCCGATTTGTTTCCAAGCTTCCAATCACAACCATTGGTAGTGACATTCGAAGAGACATATCTACAACTTTGAACTCTAACCCGGCCACCATCTAACACATTTCCAATACCCTATCAGCACGCTGAGCATGTCTATCACGATACCTCACAGAGTTCTGGACCGAAGCTGGTGTAGATTCCCAATGGCTTTGATAGCCTTGTATTCACTGGAGAGATCCGCTAGCTTCCATCTTGGGTTACTGATCAACTTCAGTGCTATCCTGAGGGGTATGAAGACAATGACCAAAAGAGAATTGATCAGAAGGAAGCAGACTACAACATGAATGTGAAAGAAGTGTAATGGCAATAACTCACAATCAGATAGGATAATAGGATTATTCCGTTGCCATAAGTTAAAAGACTGAAGAAAGTCCCAGTATTTCATGAACCTCATTGACGTGTGGTGAACAGAAGCTTTTTTGGGATGAACTTCTTTGACCGAGACACGGACACAGGTCGATTTATTGGAAGCTCAATAGTGTGGATGTTCATCCTGAGCTCATGCATTTTGACAGCGACTACATTCAGAGTCTGTCGCTTGCTTCTCAGTATAGATATACATGCACGAGTTGCCGAAAGACCAAACTATCATACATGGGAAGGCATCTCATTCAATAGTAGGTCGAAAACAAGGTGTACACGGGGAGAAGATGGAATATGTTGATATGTGATGTATCGTGTGTAAGATAGCATTCTTACAGTAGCTGGGATTTTCGTGGTAAGATCTCGTTTGTAAACTTATCAATTGAGCAACAGAATATTGTATAAAGCGCTCCCGTCAAGAGAAAATAGAGCTGTAACAAGCACCAGTTTCTTTCTGGTTTCTTCCTTGTCGGCCACTTTCAACATGGCCTTGTCAGAATCCGATGAGCCACTGGGTTCTTTTATCTCATAGAGAGTAGGTCGGACGTGTGAACCCGTCCGCGTCATACGTAGTGTCAATATTCTATGGTCAGCTAACTGCCGACCAAAGGCTATGAAAGATTCATCTGTTCCGTCGACAATAGTTTTGAGCAGTTCATACCTATCGATAACGCTCGGCATCCAATCTCTGGCAGTTTCCCCCTTTCCAGAAAAGCCAATCTCAAACATGTGGTTCTCACGAGCAACAACGACCATGCCAGGCTTGTTGTGGAAGTGAGCGCTTGTCGTGAACAGACTGGAGTTGTCACCACTGGGCCCTACATGTGTCTGGGTGGCCAGTGGACATTCATGATGGCATCCATCAGCCGAAGACTGCTAACTCAGACCTGGATATAAAGTGTTGGTATACACGTAAGCAGGTCAGACCTTTTGGCCGCGACTAAGCTCAATAATCGGGGTAGTTGTATTGCGCGTAGTTCAAGGAGGAGGAATCGTGGGCAGAGCCCGCGATCCCTTTGTGGGTGTAAGCAGGAGGAAGGGTCCGTCTGCACGGGCCTAATCTTCCTTCCTACCTATCCGCCTACCTACCCGCCTACCTAGGCCCTCTTCTGCCTTCTGCCTTGGTAATCCAACATAAAGCTTCCAAATCTAGGCTGATTAACACTTCCGGCTCTTGAATGGGGTATTGAAAGACAGCCATCGAAATTCCCAACATCCGTTGCTCAGTACCATCTTGATCTTTGGTTCTCTCGGTTCCTCTTTCTCAATTAGCAATGAAACGATCTAGGTATTCAACTTGTAGCAAGAACTCCCTCTGGCAAGCATATGAGCTTGTCTAGCTAGCGCCGCTTCAACTCGAGCTCCTCCGCCGATCCTTTTGGGACTGCTGTTCCCTTGTACCTCTCAACCGTCTCTGTCAAACGATCTGCTACCATTTTGGCATTGCATCGATCCTTCTGGTCTGGTTCAAGCACTCTGTCCTGTAGAAACTCAAGCATGAAGCTCGCAGGTTTTTGTTCTAGGAAGATGCGGGAATCAGCTTTGTTGAGCTTTCTGTGGCATTGTTGTACTGCCGGTTAAACCTTATCCCCCCAAAAGATCTTCTCAAAGAATTCTTTTGAATTTCCGTTTCACTTGCGTCGAAAAACTTGATATCGTTGGATTCCTTCTGCGCCTTCTTTTAGATGCGTAAGAAGGATACCGATGATGCATCCAAGCGACATCGCTCTCTTGATTCATGCCTCTTGCAGACCAAAGAGCCTCGCTGAGAAGGTACGTGGCCATACCAACACGGTCTTGAGTCCCGGAAATCGTATCAGATTCAGTGCTCTTGATGAGCATCATATTCAAATCGATGTCCCGTTCCCCTACATTTGGCAAGGTTCAATCTCGGGGCATCTTGACCCTGGAGATCCCAAAGTCGCTTACTTTCTAAATCAGATTTTCTTCATGACTTCCTTGGCGCGTGTCCTTGAAGATCAGAATGTTGCTGGGTTTCAAGCACATATGATGACGCACCATCTTTTGCATGTAAACTTCTATCAGGGTAGTCCATTGGACGTTTCATTCCGATCTTGCTTCATGGCTGATGATTGAGTGGGCGGATTTCCCGAAATTGTATGGCCAGCGCAAAGGCCTGGAAGTCATCAAATATGCGAGTTCGGAAGAAGTATTTAGATCTTCTAAGTTGTGCTTTATGATCTTGCCTGAAGCTTCTTGAAGACATGGTGTTGCCATATTTTGGACCAGACCACGATAAATTATATTGGGACTGACTTTGAATACTGGAAATGGGACGAATCTTATCGAAGCCACTGTCTCATAACATTCAAGTTGATGTTAGCTTCCCGACATCGATATCATTCATCGTGTTGCTGGCTTCAAAGTTGTGCCTCGAAAACCAAGACTTCGCCAATGAAAGGGCCGAAAGTGAGTAGTCCACGAAAGTAGATCGATGAGTAAAGAGGCTAAGTAACATGAAATTTGATTGCCCAATTGATCTGTGGCCCGGCGGCCTGGGCTTTTGTGGTCTTGGCAAGATAACACCTCTTGGCGAGCGACACCGGTGGAAGCTCCGGAGGTTATTCCAAGACTTTTCCACCCCACACTTTGAGGGGCCTCCTCCACACCGAAGATAAACACATTCCTATTTCTGCATAGTATGGGGTAAGTACCGTGATCATCGTACCGCCAGAGGAAACATCATGACGTCTCTGGCTTTGGGGCTGGGTAAATGAGGCCTTGGCACACTATCGGTGTCGGCTGGAGGCCGAAGTGCCCCGGTGAGGATAAATGAAATAGCAGACATGGCCGCATTCTGTGCTGCCCGCTGCTGCTCCCGATTGTCTTGAGCCTTCCAACCTCGAAAACCTGTTGAAACTTCGGAGCCAACTCCGTGCTCGACAATGCACGTTCCAGAGATTGCGGCTTTCGCCTTGCTGCGCGCAGGCCTCGCCGCTGCTCAACTCACGTATGCTAGCAACCAGGTCGAGGTGATCCCGGACAGCGAAGCGGTAGCGGCGAACTTCCCAGAAGTTGAAGATGTTGAACTGCGCTCGCCCGCTTTCGCCAACCCAGACAGTGTCCCGGCGACCTTTGCCAATGGCACGAGCGGCCCGACAGACCAGGCCACTCTCGGTGAGTCGAATTAAATTGGGAACCTTAACTCATTGCCCAAATCTAACGACTTATGATCGGCAGACTACTTCCTCCAAACTCTCGCGGCGCGCAATGAGTGGATGACCTACCATAGCCCAGACTTCAAGTCGGAAGAAGGCCGCTCGATTCCTTATGTTTACCTCTCAACCTCGAAAGGTGTCCCGACGGATACCAGCCAGAACACCTACGGCAACGCCAGCGCGCCCGCAAAGGTGCGCATCTGGATGCAGGGCGGCGTCCACGGCAACGAACCAGCAGGCGACCAGGCTCTACTCGCTCTACTAGGCAGATTCGACGCCAATGCCACCTGGGCGGCCTCGATTCTTGAGAAAGTCGACATTATGATGTTGCCTCGATACAACCCGGACGGTGTGGCGTACTTCCAGCGGTATTTTGCGACCAGCTTCGATCCGAACCGCGACCACACGAAGCTCGCGCGCCAGCAGACTCGGGATATCAAACGGCTTATGGTTAGCTTCGCGCCTCATGTTGGTGTAGACTGCCACGAGTACAGCCCTACTACGCCCTTTGGAGCCAACGAGCAGTGGGTGGATGCCCAGGATGGCCAGTTCTCGGCCATGAAGAATGCCAACATCCACCCCGATATCCGGAACGTCTCTGAAGCCGTCTTCGCGAACAACATTGCGGCGGCCATGGAAAGCCGCGGGTTACGATGGGGTCCTTACATCGTCGGTCCCTCGGGCACAGACGAACTTGTCCTGGAAGAAACCACCGGTGACGCCAAGATCGGAGACAGCGCCGTCGCGCTGACCCAGGCCATCATGTTCCTGACCGAGACGCGGGGCATCGGGCTAGCAGACCAACACTGGCAGCGTCGCGTCGCCACTGGCCTGACTATGGTTGAGACAATCGTTCAGACGGCTGCTGATCGGGCTGAAGAAGTATACTCGACGGTAGAAAACGCGCGCGCAAAGTTCATCGCGAGCACCGACGACATCATTGTCACGGAGTCTGCTCGACCGACCAACATCACATGGCAATTTATCGAAGCGCCCACAGGAGAACTCGTTGATATTCCCGTGCAGTTCCTCAACACCACACCCGTGGTAGCAAACCTCACCCGTGCGAGACCCGAGGCCTACGTCTTTTCGCGCGCATGGGCCGACGTTGCCGAGCGACTGCGTACTACTGGTGTTGAAGTACAGACGTTGCAGTCTGACTTTCACGGCGAGGTAGAGGCATTCAACATCACGAGTGCCGACGTGGCGCGAACAAAGTATGAGGGGATTGCTCGCACGACTGTGACGACGGAGACTTTGGTTAAGGAAATTCGAATCCCGGCTGGCGGGTTCTGGGTCAGTACCAGGCAGAAGAATGCGGCACACGCATTTGTGACGCTTGAGCCAGAAGGGATCGACTCATATGCTACCTTCAATGTTCTGCCGGTAAGCGTTGGTGATGAATATCAAGTCTATCGGGTCATGGCATAGAGGATGAGACGACACTGAGAGATAGCTACTTCCAAGTGACTGAGTTATAATAGTTCATGGTAATGAATAATTTTGACGTTCAAGTATCCTCTTTTGCAGACTGAATCTTCTCTCTCCTGACCTTGATACGTCGTTTGAGACTCTCATGACCGCCCGTCAGCGACATCACCCTCATAAGTTGCTGGGCTAGAAATAATCTTCAAGGAATGCTTGAAAATCTTGATCGGCTCTACACTCGCAATCTTCTTTAGACCTGCATCAGCCGGAGGATTGGCCAACATGCCTAATTCTCCGCGGCGAATTGTCAAATGTCCAAGTGGGTCTCGACGAGACCAACTCCGGGTTCCGGCGCGGGGGACGGAGACAATGCCCCGTCCTGTTCGGTGGCCTTATAAGTGACGAGCAGCCCACGAGACCTGATCACAAGTATTCAAAATACTACTGGAACCATCTGATACTCATGTAATAATTGAAGATGGCAAACATGCGAAGGTTTCATAACCCCATCATTCCAGGCTTTGCGCCGGACCCCTCAGTCGTCATGGTCGACGGGATCTTCTACCTCGTCACCTCATCCTTCCACATCTTCCCCGGCCTGCCCGTCTACGCTTCCCGTGACTTGCAAAAATGGAAGCATATCGGTACGATATTTCTAATGCCCGTTTGAAAGAAAAACCTCTGGCTAACCTGCGTGCGCCAGGCAACACAATCAACCGCCCGGAGCAACTCACCCTCGCCAACGCAGCCACAAACTCCTTCACCCTAGACACCGGCCACACAATGATCGCAACAGGCGGCCTCTTCGCCGCCACAATTCGTCACCACCGCGGGAGATTCTATATAATCTGCACCAATTGCGGCTCCTCAAACGGGTCATCGGATCTGCAAAACTTCATCATCCATACCTCTGACATCTGGGGTGGAGACTGGAGTGACCCTATCCCAGTAGACTTCCCCGGCATAGACCCAAGTCTGTTTTTCGATGATGACGATCGCGTATACTTCCAGGGCTGCTTCGTCATGGACCGCTCAAAGCAGCCGAGCTGTACGATCAAACAGGTTGAAATTGACGTCCTCACTGGGAAACAACTTTCTGAGCAGCGAGAGATTTGGGGTGGGTATGCGAAATACGATACTGAGGGGCCGCACGTGTATAAAGTTGACGGGTGGTACTACCTTCTCGTCGCTGAAGGCGGGACCTTTGAGCATCACATGCTTTCCATCGCGAGATCGAGAGAAATATGGGGACCGTATGAAAGCTTCGAAGGGAACCCGATCATGACTGCAGATGGGAAGGACGAGTACATCCAGAACATTGGCCACGGCGAATTATTCCAGGACGCGGAAGGATCGTGGTGGGCCGCGGTGCTAGGCGTCAGGAAGGATGATGATGGATGCGCTGCGTTGGGGCGTGAGAGCTTTCTTACGCCTGTTGAGTGGCCTGAGGGTGGATGGCCGCGGATACTTCAGCCCAAGATGGACTTTGAGAGGGAGTTTGGGGAGGCTACGTCGAGCTTGGGAGTCCAGGAGCGGAAATCATCGGCCAACGTCGCGGACGTCTTTATCAGAGATCCCGACTTTTCCAAGTACCGGTTCTCTAAGGATGATAAGCTCAGAGTTACGCTCTTGCCAAGCCGCACCGGATTCTCAAGTCCTACCGGGACCTGCACTTTTCTCGGAAGAAGACAAAGATCTCTGGCCAGTTGCGCCGTTGCCTCTCTCCAGCTAAACGACGACATAAGATCAGTCAAGGGGCTTCGAGCAGGTCTAGCAATGTACAGAGACAGCGTCCGCCACGTCTCGATCGCATACGACTCCGCCGCTGAAGCCGTCATCTGCCACGCATTCAACTCTGCGACTGGCTTTGACAAGATCTTCTCGAATACTCTTCCATTGGGGAACGAGGCACGGAAGATCAACTTCAAGATCCAAGCCTCGGAGACTGAGTGGAAGTTCTATGCTGCACTACATGACAAGGATGATGCTGCATCTGGCAGCCAAAGTCTCAGCCTTGAGAGTTGCAAATGGGAAGAGCTCGGAGTGGTTGCAGTCAAAGATTTTGACGCCCGGGATTTCACAGGTCCTATCATGGGAGTCTTCGCCCAGACTTCGGCTGAGAAGACAGAAGATGTGTCGGTTACGTTCTCTCACTTTTCAGTGGAAGACGATGGATTCAGTACGTAGCTAGCATTGACGCACCAAACAAGAAGATCATGGCGCAAGATAGAAGCAACTCCATGACCTAGGGAACTAAGGTACCCGGAAGTTTATAGCTGTGTTGACATTGTCTCTGATACAGATGAAAGACGGTAGTTCTGGGTAACATGATAAGGGTAATAATAAGGCAAAGAATCAAAGGAAGGCAAGGATTGAACAAGACAACCGCAATCAAGCATTGGGGACCCTTCCTACATCAACGTCCTACATCAACGTCCTACATCAACAACACAACCAAAAGGCAACCCAGCAAAAGATTTTGACCAGCATGGGGGTCGAACCCACAATCTCCTGATTCCACGGTATATCGTAGTCAGACGCCTTGCCATTGGGCCAACCGGCCAGACAATTCAGAACATCTTGGATGCTCGTCTGTGTTGAGCTTCGCCGATTTTGGGCTTCAAGTTTCATTGCAAAATGGGCTGGTGGTTGACGTTTTTGCCCCGGCAGATTGGAGGTCTGTGATGTTGTTTCGGCGAGCCAATGACAATCTCTCAATTTGGAGTGAAAGTGAAAAAATTTGCTAGCTGCTTTGTTCGGCGGAATTAAGAAGGGCGGGGGGCCGACGGGGCAGGCCAAATGCCTCAGCCCCTCCCGATGTCGGGGGGTAGCCGTGTAATTGGGGTTGGTATTACGAATTTCCTCGGCCCCGCTGGGAAAGGATTTTGATGATGGCATTGGGATTTGGTTAAAGTGTGGTTGGGCACAATGTGAGTCACTGTCCCAATCCATTGACTCTCTTACTGGAGTGTTACAGACCATCTGTCGGTGCTTTAAATCCAGCTGCCAATGGGTCAGATGTCAGAACAGATAAAACAGTGTTAAAGCGGCAAAAGCTCATTGTTAGAGCAAGTCTGGAAGATTGTGTTCTTGTGTACGATCTATTGTTTTCAGGTGCAAATGGAAGTTCTATCGATAATTCCATAGAGACTAAGTCTCATCTTTTGTGTTGAAACCCCTCATATGGGTACAATTTCCTCCTAAAGCACAGAGACGACTGGATCTAGTATCCACGGAAGATAAGGTCCTCTCTCTTGGGGCCAGTGCCGATCCAGACAACCTTGACACCGACAAACTTCTCAATGAACTCAACATACGCGCGCGCCTGCTTGGGCAGGTCGTAGTACGTCTTGGCGCCCGTCGTGGGCGTGTTCCAGCCCTCGAGCTCCTCGTACACGACCTCGGCGTCGTCAAGAGCCCTGATGTTGGCAGGGAAGGAGGGGAACTCCTCGCCGGTGTGCTTGTTCTTGTAGCCGACGGCGACCTTGATGGTGGGGAAGGTATCGAGGATATCGAGCTTGGTAAGGTTGAGAGCGGTGTAGTGGTTCAAGTCGTGGGAGTACTTGATGACGACAAGGTCGAGCCAGCCGCAGCGACGGGAGCGGCCAGTGGAGACACCGATTTCGTGACCAATCTTCTGAAGCTTCTCGCCCGTCTCGTTCAGTAATTCCGTGGGGAAACCACCACCACCGACACGGGTGGTGTAGGACTTGACGACACCGACGACGTTATTGATCTTTCTGGGGTTGAGTCCGAGCTAGTGATGTGTCAGGGCATGAGTCTGTTGATTCGAGCATCATCTCAACTTACACCAGTGAAGACACCGCCGAGGCCAGTGTTGGATGATGTGACGTAAGGGTAAGTACCAAAGTCTGTCAAGATCAGCAAGGCCATCCATAATCCTGCCATAGTGTTAACGTACTCAAGTCAAGCATGACAGCCTGGGCACCCTCAACGAGGATCTTGTTGCCGTTCCTCTGGGCGTCGGCGATGATGGGGACAGCGTCGACAACGAAGGTCTGTGGATGGATGTTAGTTACCAAGAGGGGATTTTATCTTCGTAAGAAAACTTACGCGAAGCTCCTCTCTGTACTGCTTGAAGCGCTTGATCTCGTCCTCAACATCGTAGACAAGAAGATCGCCGAAACGCTTCTTAAAGCCCTGAGCGAGCTGACGAAGCTTGTGCTCAAAGAGTTCCTCGTCGAACATCTCGCTGATAGTGATACCGTTGCGGGCAGCCATGGTGCTATAGGTTGGGCCGATACCGCGCTTGGTGGTGCCAATGCTGTTGCCGCCGAGCTCCTGCTCTTCCAATCCATCGACCTGGATGTGGCAGTCGGTGATAATGTGGCAGCGATCGGACACCAAGAGGCGCTCGCGGATGTTCTTCAGGCCCTTGGCCTCGAGGTCGGCCATCTCCTTGAAGAAGGTCGGGACGTGGACGACGGCGCCGGATCCGATAAGGCTGATGCACTTTTGGTGCAGGAGACCAGAGGGGAGGAGGTCTGTGGAGGATAGTCATCAGCATAAGGGGATCAAAGGAGCGTTGCGATGGAATCAAGACGTACGGAAGTCGTAGCTAACGCCATCAACGATGACGGTGTGACCGGCTGTTGGAGGTCGGGTTAGATATTACACGTCGCGATGGTTTCGGGAGTTGGAGTGACTCCTACCATTGTGTCCGCCCTAGGGCCATCAGCATGCCATTGATTATCCAAAAGGTACCAAAAACCCAACCTGAGCTCTGGCGCAAATCTGCGCGTCTTGTCCGAGGCTATATCGCGGATGTCAGAAGAGGGGCCGAAGGGCGTCAATGGGCATAGCTTACACGTCGACCAGCTTTCCCTTGCCCTCGTCACTATTTGAGCGCGATATGTTAGTTGGTACTTCTGCGGCAGGTCGTCAACGGCACAGCAGGGATGAATGTTCATTGTTGTGTCGCGATCCATCGAGAGTATACGCATACACGATCGATACGTGTACACCCCTGAGGTCCCTCTCTGTCATAGATCCCTCTGCTGGCCGGAGATTGACAAAAGTGATCAATGCGCAGTAGCACAAGACAGACAAAGGAGAGAATCGGGAGATGGCGAGAAGGCCCATGTATGTGTAGAGCAAAAGGTAGAGCAATTTTGGGCCGCGAGAAAGTTGACAGCTTACCCCCACTGGGCGCCGAGAACGATGTCAATCGTAGCCATGGCGTCCGGTATGGATTGGAATGTGCGAGAGAGTGAGAGAATGTGTGTATAGCAACAAGCAACTTGTTTAGCGGATTGTCCAAAGTATGGGTTGCTGCGATCGCAACGTCGGTCTGCGATAACTTCACAAAAACAATCAGAAGGGGAAGACGCGGGGTTTAAAAATCGGCCATGGAGGGGCAGGTTTTGCTTTGGCGGGGTTCCAGGTCTGCGGGCCAACGTGACGGCGGACCCACTTCTCTGCTGCTTCCCTCGCTGCGATGACTCCTTCCTGCAGGGCAGCAGGGCAAGGTTCCTTCCATTTGGTCAATTGCTGCTGCCCGTTGTGTGCACCAAAACGATTGCGTTACCGGCCGTTCGTCGGGACTCGGTGAGTACGTACCGCGGCAATGGTGCACCAATCGCCGGCTCGACGGGACGGAATCGTCCGGAGTGGAAGAATCAGGCAAGGCCGGGCGATACTCCGTCATGTGGCTGATCCAACACCAGCCACACGTCTACGAGCCACAGTAGTGCAGCCACCCTTAGCCACATAGACCAGCCACACTTTTCGATTTTCCCTGCGTATGGAAGAAGTCCTTCCCGATTAATCTCCTTTCTTGCGCGTCTGTTGCTTGCTGAACCCAGCCAGCTAAAGATCAAGGACTCTTCAATCAAAAGGCTCTTCTTGTGCTTCCCAAGGTACTCAGAGCACCTTAGCCTTGATTATCAATCAGAGACTTCGACAAGAGACCAGCCAGCACAGGCGCATACCTCTCGTGAAGGTGCAAGTCAATAATCAAGAGTTCAACTCTCGCTACCTTAACAGGAAGCCTACGTTCGTGCATGTCCCCTTGCGCTTCCGTTCATCCACCGTCCACGTGCTATTATCGTCCGAATTGGAGCAAATCAGCCGAGCCTACATACTGGACCTCGTCACATCAAGCTCATGAACCCGGCGCATATCGCAACCCCTGTCGGTTCTCCGCTTTGCTGGCATATTTTCGTCGCCGAAGACCGAAATGGCCGTTTTTTCTCCAGTTACGAGAATTTCAAGTTGCCCAAGAATCACGTCCGTTTAGATACTATCCCACCTACCACAGTCTATAGACCATTATGTAGCGAGAGAAAAAGAATGCAGTGATTTCAATTGATCAACCTGACTTACTGCGAATTCAAGTACGAGCTACAGTGACTTTGCATCAAGTTGTATGGAGTGAAAATACACGAGTGACCGCGCTGAAAGCCCTTCACATGCCTATCCGAGCTCATCCTCGGGCTGAGCAAAAGTTCCTTGCCTACCATGGACCAACATCGTCAATATGACCAACGAAATGGAAATGCGCTCAATGATCGGAACACGTACCGAGCAAGGGCAGGGGAATCCATGAGGGACTGGGACTAACCTGGTGTGACTGGACCACACCAGGGGCACAGCTGAAAACTTGCCTAGGCCTACCGAGAACGCCGAAGCCATCCAATCTTATCTGATGGATCAGATAACTTTCTTCGTCCCCTACCCCACGCCTTCTTTGCAACCTTTATCAATCTCTTCGCTCCCCTTCAACCAATGACAACTGTCACCAACGGCCTAGCTAGCGTTCCCCTCTCCACCTCGCCGTCAAAAAAACCCTCGACGCGACCCGAATGAAGCGAGAGAGCTCTAACCGAGCATCCTGATCTGGCATGGCTGCCATGCACAGCAGTACAACCCCTTGTCAAGTTGGCCGGACCATCTAACCGACCCTGGCTTCGAATGCACCATCGGATCACTCAACACGAACGCCTTATTCTAATAACGCCGGTGATGGATTGAGGGAGGGTCTATCTGCCTCGCGTGCGGACGCCACATGCAGAAGCCTGACTCTCACATTCTCCAGGAACATTGCCAGCCCCCCAAGGCAAGCATAGGCATGGACTTGGAAGGTGCTACAAGTACTTCTACATATATAACATTGCGTTTACTTCCGGCACGAGCTAGACGTCCTTGAAGTTTGTTCCTTCGTTCCGCGCTTCACTCGTCTCCTAATTCCCTGGTTCAGATCGCACAAAAGTCAGTCTCTTGTGTCTTCTGGAAAGACAAAATCTTACTGCAGCCATCAAGATGAAGTATTCATACGTTCTCCTGGCTACCGCCAGCCTCGCCGCAGCCCAGCAAAAGTTCACAGACGTCGTTCCCAAGTGCTCTATCGAGTGCCTGACAAAGGCCGTAAAGGACGGCACCAAGTGCAGCAGCATCGACGACTCTGCCTGTATTTGCGAGGCGGACAACTACCGCAGCATCTACACCGTCGGCGTCAACTGCGTGCTTCAAGCCTGCGGCTCCGACGTTGCTATTGGTGCGTCAACTTCACTTTAGTTCTTTTCTCTTTGCCACCTCCACCACGCCTTCACCCTCTCAAACAAAAGCCTCAACACCATGACTAACATTTGCTCTCAATAATAGGTCAGCTCCTCCCCGCCGCTGGCAAGTTCTGCCGCGAGGTCACTGGGGGCGCCTCCGCTCCCCCCGTCGACTCTGCCTCCGCATCCGCATCCGCCGTCGTTTCCTCTGCTATCGCCTCTCTGTCATCTGCCGCCGCTTCCGCATCTACTGCTGCTTCCAACGCGACTGCCTCCGTATCGATCACCGCTACACCGACCGCCGGCGCTAGCAGCACGGCTGCTGCGGCTACCACTGCTTCTCAGGCTGGTGCTGCTCCTGCCTTGGCTTCTATGGGTGCCCTTGGCATGCTTGCTCTCGGTGGCCTTGCTGCTTTCTAGAGCAATGTGTCTCGAGAAAGGCGTGACTTATGAGAAATGTAGAGGAGGTCGGAAACAGTAACAATTACCGAGCCAGGCTGAGCGATGCCATGTGAAATCACTAGGCACCTAGATTGTTCACTCACCATCTGACGATAATTTGAACTCATTGGGATGGTCGGGAGATACCTGCTTATAATAAAAAAATAAAGTACCATACTATGTTCTTCAACAGTGCATAGCTTCGATAACGTGTGATCTCTCGGGGCTCAAAGCCTTAGGATGATGTTTCCTTGGACGAGGAATGAAAGTCAAGCGAACCTCCTATCTTATCATGCACTGTCCAGCCTTCATCTTCCAGGCCCACGTAATCCACACCGTGTCGTATGTCTTGCTCATAAAACTTGAGCTCCACTCCCAAATCCTCTAGTTGTCTTCTGATCACCAGTTCCTCAGAGCTCATTTCTACCACGTTGGTTTTGGTGATGATGTGTAAGGAACGAAACTGGGTCAGCTCTCCTCTTTTGATACGGTCTATCAGTCCTTGTACATCAAAGACTAAGAAAACGGCTCGGAAGCCTCCCCCAAGAGATAAGCATCGCACGGAAGATGGGAGCGACGATACCAGGTCATTACCGTTGTATAGCTCACTGTGGCACTCGAGTCTCAAAACTTCGAGCAGCTTGTACTCGTGAAGGTATCCCCGAGGGTCCGTTTTCTCGTCGCTCCCTTTGGTAGAACGATACTAGGCGGCGTCGCTCCAGCATTTTCTAGAGCTGCTACTAAGGCGTAGACGGTAGAGGGTGGGTGCGAGGTCTTTTAGACGCCTGGCGCAAGAGTGATTTAGGTTTTGGCACGCCACCCAGTCCATGTTGCCGTGGCTAATATACTGTATTTCATCCATGCCGTCACAGCGTATGAACATACAATCAATTGCAAGGTCACGCAAGCTGCGACCATCGTCGATAGGCCATCCGTAGGGTCCGTAGCAGCCGGTTGTATGCGGGTGAACTTGACGGGGGACATATGAAGGGCTGTCGAACATCAGCATCGTGGGAATGCCCATGTTGCGCCGGATTTCCCTAAAAGTCAATTTCTCGATGTCTGGGTACTCAGGCAAATGTAGTTGATGTTGATGGTATACTGAGACTGTTTCTAGGGCTGGTGTGTGCCGCATCAACCACTGGTGCCACATAGCTGTCCCTCAGAAGACATGCATGCATGCCCCACAACCTTGTGCCGATTTCTACCAGCGGCTTCAGTGCATGGGTGCCAAGAGAGGCATGGTTCGTAAAATTTCCAAGACTCTTCGGACGGCGAAATACCGGGATTTCCATTGACTGAGGTTGGACTTCTCTGAAAGAAAATGACTTGATGTGTTTGGCGAGATCGGGACGTTCAAACAGTCAATGTGTACACCAGCAAAAGCGCTTTCTGACGCAGAACTCAGAAATGATAGAGGTACGGAGTTGCAATGTCTCGCCAATGTGTGTCAATGAGACAGAGATTGAAAAGCTCGGCGCTATTGGTATGACTTGGTTGGTCTAGGTTGGTGAGACAGCCCGTGCAGTGCACGCAGAGATTTGAGGCTATCAAGTGATGGACTTCGTTTGGTAGGCTCGTGATGGTTACTGGAGGATGTTTCCTGTCCACTGCAAGAGAGATAGTATCTAATATGCATTGGTGGCTGCCGGATTGCCGGAGGTTTGTGCGGGATCCATGCCTGGTATGAGAGATGATTTCCTAATGCAAATTTGGTACGGGAGGGTTTGTCGACTTTTGATCGCTGTAGGCGGGGGAGACTTTTGAGACAGATGAGTGTTTGGGAGAATTTCACATTCTTCAAGTTTTAGGCAGTAGAGCTTTCGACTACATATATGACCACGGCCTACGATGGTTGCCAATGTTTGAAGAAACTCTCGCGATTAAGATCCAAAAGGTTGCGGCCTCACTCAAAACTGACTTTGGAACCTCAATGTGTCGTGTAAGGTTGGTGGAGTCCAATTCCGTTTGTGGACATGGCGCGCATGATACAAAGATTTATTGACCTCAAGGTAGTTTCAATGGAACGTTTCTTTCAACTCTTCCGACTGCTAAGAAGGGCTGTATCACTGAAATCGCCAATCGTGTTGTTCTCAAGTTCTGGACGGTATTCGACTTACAATGGCGACATGCCTGCTTTTCTACCTGTCTACTTACATACTGGCACGATGTAAACATGAATTAAAGCCGTTAGCTTCGAATAAGTGACAATTCTGTGATGCCTGACTCCAACTACCTTACGTCAAGCTAAGAGAAGATAGAGCTCAGATGATCAATGACCTTTTCCCGAAGATGGCAGCATTTCTCATGAGTGCTTTCCGTTACATGTAAAGGGTGTTTAATGTTCCGCGAAACAGGTACACGAGTCCCGTCTAGATGTATCAATCTACATCTGTTAGAACAGTGATACGGTAACGTAGAAGAGGACTGGTCAGAGGGACTGCAACACGATTAGGGGCTTGCATTAAGATCCTTGAGGCCGCGACCGACGCCTGTAGAAGTGAGGTTTCCATGACAGAAAGTGGAAAGTCTGAGATTAGTCCTTCCTCACTGGACTCTCATGGCACCCTTGGGCTGCATGGTGGTCAGGAGATGCGATACCCCTCCTCCTTGGCACAGTGACAACAAACAATTTCGGCATCCCGTGCATGATCGCTGTCGCGCATCAGCCCTCGGTATCTCAGGTAGTTCAACTTTACCTCTTGAGTAATAGGTTTTTGAACTTTTTCGGTTTTTCTTGCAAGCCTTGGATCTTACTCACTCCGCTAAACTTGAAAAATCATCGGAAAAGAGTGATTGAAACGCTGGATACGGATGGAATCATCATGATCATAATAGAGTGAATCTGGGGAACAGGACATGATTACCCCAAATCTTTCCAAACCCTTTTAACCGGCACCAATAGGATATCGCATGCACCTAGACATGCAGTCACTTTAGAGTCCCAGTGACGCAGATCTCGTAACCACACGGGGAGGAAATCGGACCACGTCTCACACCCTTGTCAGCCATTTCCCCGGGTCATGTAATCCGAGGATCAGTTCTAATACCCGGACACACCTACGAAAACTCGGAATTCATAAAATGGAACATCGATGGGAAACTCGAGATCCTCTTTACTGATCGCAAACACACCAGGATTGAGATCTCACTCACCTCCTAGCAATCACTTCACATGTAATCAAAATGGCTACCACTGCATCTAAAACGCCTTACTTTGGGCTTAAAGGGAAGTGGCTTACTTACTGGATTACGTTTGCATGCAGTGTAGATATGCTCATGTTCGGCTATGACCAAGCAGGTAAGCGATTGTCACTTCTGTCTGAGCCGTATGCTAACACGGGCAAAGTCTTTAGCGGCGTCATCGTGACTGACGATTTTCTCGAGCTTCATGACCTCGTCGGCCCGGAGAAGACCCGTATGCTATCCACAATCACAGCAATATATGACATTGGCTGTTTCGTCGGAGCGATTCTGGCCTTCACTATTGGGGAATCATTAGGTCGAACGAAGTCCATCCTCATCGGAACCGCGATTATGAGCATCGGCGCTATCTTGATGGCATCGTCTTACAACTTGGCTCAGATGTTCGTTGGCCGCATTGTGCTAGGGTGAGCATCAGCTAATGCCCTCGCTCATTTCATATCGAGGCAAAATCATACTGATGTTTACACAACAGAATCGGCAACGGAGTCAACACGGCTACCGCCCCGATTTGGCAGACTGAGACAGCTCCCGCTCACTGGCGCGGGAAGCTGGTCATGTTTGAGATGATGATGAACATTGTGGGATTCTCACTTTGCAATTGGATCAACTTTGGTCTATCATATGCAGGCGGTGCCGTCGCGTGGAGGTTCCCCCTCGCCTTCCAATTCGTCTTCATCATCGCGCTGTTCGCCACTGTTCCATGGCTGCCTGAGTCGCCCCGATGGCTGATATCACATGGGCGGGAGGAAGAGGCAACTCAGATTCTTTCCTGTCTCGAGGCGAAACCAGAAGACGATGCGTTTGTTATTTCTCAGAAGGAAGAGATACGATTTAGTATTGATTACGAAAGAGAACATCGTATCCAGTGGAGAGATCTGCTGCGACCTGATCCAGGCGCAACCAGACCACTGCGCAGAATCATTTTAGGGGCTGGCACGCAATTCATGCAGCAATTTGAAGGTAAGACGAAATCCGGTTCTGGACTGGATGGCACCATGTGTTTCTGACATATCGTTCTGTGCAGGTATCAACATCATGAGCTATTACATGCCGGCCGTTTTGATCTCCGCGGTGGGCCTATCGAACGAGCTAGCACGTCTTCTGACCGCTGTTAACTCATTGACTTATCTGATCTTCTCATGTGTCTCCGTCACCCTAGTCGAGAGATGGGGACGGCGAGGACTCATGCTTCTTTCCACTGCCGGTCAAGGCTTAGCGTTTCTTGTGATCACGATTCTTCTCAGATATGGTGGTCCGGAAGGAAACCAGAGAGCATCAGAGGGATCCATTGTCTTTTTCTTTCTCTACTTCATGGCCTTTGGCCTGGGAATGCTGGGTGTTCCCTGGCTTTACCCCACAGAGATCAACTCGATTGCCATGCGAACAAAGGGTGCTGCAGTGGCCACAGCCACCAATTGGTACAATTGATCTTCTATTGTTCTGTTTCGAACCAACTGACATCATTCAGGATGACGAACTATGTGATTGTCCAAATCACACCAATCGGAATCCAAGATCTGGGATGGAAGTTTTGGATCGTTTTCACAGTCTTGAACGCTGCGTTTCTGCCTGTCATCTACCTCTTTTATCCTGAGACAGGTAAACCCCAATTCAAAATCCAGTCATCAAGGTATCCCGATAAGATTCCGTCTAACAAACATTATAGCAAACCGAACACTCGAAGATCTCGACGAGTACTACCGCAATGACCCACCTCTCATCGTCATTGGAGACAAGGACGCGATTGCCAGTAAAAGACCTAAGAAATATGTCGACAGACAAGAAGCACATGTTCAGCGCGTTGCCCACGGGAACGAGGTCACCGAGACTGGTGAAAATGCGGTTTTATCTGGAGAAAAGCACCAAGCTATCTGAGCCAATCGGTTCTGCCGGGCAGGGCAAAGAAATCGAAGGTTCAGCATGTTCCATAAATCAGGGTATTTCCCTATGTAAGGGTGTATCCTCCATCAACGATGATATCAGCCCCCGTCATGTAGCAGCATGCATCACTTGCCAGGAAAACATAAATCTGTAACTAGTAGTTAGCAAACACACACCAACTATGTGACTAATGCGATTTGTCTTACGCCTTTGAGTTCAGATGTCTCGGCCATACGCTTCCCGGGAATCATCTCCATCCACTTATCGAAGCGCTCCTTTGGTTGAACATACAACACTGGGTTTTAATTAGTACTGATTTGAGATTCATGGGAGGACAAGCCATGGACTCACTCTCCGTTTCAATAAAGCCCGGAGAAACGCTGTTGACCCGTGCGAAGTCCACCCATTCTACCGCGAGACTCTTGGCCAAGTGTACGGCGGCGGCCTTTGAAGAGTTATAGGCAGCCTGTCGCTGAGGGATATTAACCAGTGTCGCACTGACTGACGCAGTGATGATAAGATTGCCGCGCCCCTGTTGCTTGAAGACCTTCCCTGCAGCCTGCGCCGTCCACATGACACCATCAAGGTTGACACTATTGTTGTCTTTCCATGTCTCCTCGGTGTACTCAAGGCTGGGAATATCAGCGCAGACGCCAGAGTTTGCGACCATGACATCAAGATGCCCAAAGTCTCCAACAATCTGGTCAACCGTGGCAGTGATTGAGGCCCGAGACCGAACGTCGCTTTGATAGGCGCGCACGCTCACATCTGTGTCCTTGGCAATCTGACTGGCGATTTCAATGGCATCCTTGCTGGTCGCGTAAATTAGAGCAACATCGGCGCCGGCTTCAGCCAGGCCCCGGACGATTTCGAGGCCGATGCCCCTGGCGCCGCCCGTGACGGCGGCAACCTTGCCTTCCAGCGAGAACTGCGAAAGGACAGGTGCGCTGGGATTGGGTGGCTTGTAAAGCGGCATAGCGGATGATATGTGATTGGGACGCGTTCAAACAATGAGTTTAAGTACCGCACTTGAAAAGCAATAGTCAATAGATACTCAGGCAGGGAGCAGTGAACACGAGTTCATCGGACATTAGACTAGGAGGGGTAATTGAGGGGTTGGAGAACTGCGCCAAGGTGGCTGAAGTAATCATGCATGGGGATATGGCGAGGAGTTTCCTTACGATTCAATAACTATTATGTAGGAGGAAACTAAGTCGCTCATTCATTTTTCTTTGAATGATTTCTCTTCGGGTGGTTCGTTTTCACTATTCACTTCTTGCTTGATAGCCAACTATCGCTACACACCTGTTGTGATTGATATTCCTCTACTTTGAAAAGTCTGGTCTAATTGCAGCGGTGGTCTGATAGACTGACAGAGTGCTTCCGTCCCAATCACCTACTTGACTTCATACCCCGTGTCAAGAAAGACACGAGGTTGCGGGCTTTGGACTGAGAATCTGTCACAATCAATGAGACTACCCCAGAGCCGGTTCCGCCGGTACTTGGCTTGTCAGTCATTTCTGGGGAGCATGGTTTACCCTCCAGTCTAGTCTGCGGCCCGCGGCGCATCAAGGAAGGGCCTAGGAGTGCACATTGCCGTTACCCGTCATAAACGCGACGCTGAGTTCCTACAAGCGCCGGGATGGTAAAGACCGACCGTTGTATCGGACCTCTGCTGCGTATTCGCAACTGTTCGCGACTCAACGCCCCGAGGATTGCTGTCGATCGTCATCAGGCGACACTCACGCTTTTACAAGCCTGACTAAAGGACGCTAGAAAAGCTTCATTTACTCTGTGGGGAAGCGGGGACCTTAGATCAGATTGGGGTAGGTCTCGTGGAGTGGCCGTATGCACCCCAAAGACGGTGATTCCATTTTCAGATCCGAGCCCCGGCCAACGCCATGAATACGATGTTTCATTGCAGATCCCATGCGGCAGGTCCTCTCTTAAAAGCGACCGTCTGCCAACTTCGCTAACTTGAAGCGTCCTAGCCACCATCGTCTCTATTGGCGCGCAAGTCTATCGTCGTGTGGTCGAGTTGCCGCCGTATTTTGGACTTCGCGACCCTTGAAGTATTTAAGGCGACGATTGGAATGTCTTAACGTCGAATCGCGTCAAGTACCGAGCGCTGCACGACTTCAAAGCCAAGGCGTCTGAGTCTCTTGTTACATATCCATCATGGGCATCTCAAGCTTCCTCCTCCTCGGCCTCGGGGCGCCTCGTTGGCCGCGAGTCAGTCATTCCAGTCGACACCCGTCATGGGATGGAATTCGTACAACCAGGTCTCCTGTAGCCCGACCAATGCCGGCATCACGGCTGCCATCAATTCTTTGGCTGACCGAGGCTTCGTCACCGCGGGCTACAAGTACTTCCAGATCGACTGCGGCTGGGCCTCCAGAGATGGCCAGCGAAATGCGACATCGGGCGCGTTGAAGGTCGACACAAACGCGTTCCCCCAGGGTCTCAAGCCCTTGAGCGATCTTGCGAGGTCTAAAGGCATGAAATGGACCATGTACTCAGACGCCGGCGTGCGCATGTGCGACCCCCGGGTCCCAAGTCCTGTCCTGGGCTCACTCGGTCACGAAGCCGCCGATGCCGACTTTTTCAAAACTCTCAACACAGAGTATCTCAAGTGTAAGTTCCGCAGGCCATAAATGGCAACTGTGCCTCTAGTGCCATGCGGCATGCGCTGACTACGATTTGCTCTCAGATGACAACTGCTATGTCGACGGCCCTAACGAATCGCAGAATGCGCCGAAGGATCCGCGAAGCGATTTTGTCTCGCGCTTCACGGTCATGTGGAAAGAACTTCAACGAGTCGGCATTCCGGGCATGCTGATCTGCCAATGGGGAACCCCCTATTCAGCTTCCAGTGGCCTCCAGGGGCCCGCGCAATGGACGAAGGGCATCTCGACTTCGTTCCGTCTGTCAGACGACATTGCCACAGGCTGGGACAACGTCTACCGCATCTACAACCAAGCCGTTCACATTGTTAAGTCCGGCATCGTCGGACCGGGCAACATCGCCGATGCTGACCTTCTTGAAGTCGGCAACACTGGCATGACTTTTGATGAGCAGGCCACCCACTTTGCGTCCTGGGCTATGCTCAAGTCTGCCCTCATGATTTCCACCAACATTGCTGCTCTTTCTGATCAGGCCGTAGCCGTCTTGCAGAACAAGGATCTTATCGCAATCAACCAGGACTCGGCCGTCAAGCCTATCAAGCTCGTTCAGCGTTGGACCGGAAACCGCGATCTCTGGGCCGGTGACCTCGCCAACGGGGATGTCGCTGTCCTTGTCGTGGACCTGAGCAATGCCGCCCGCACGCTGACTGTCCAGCTCGCCGACCTCGGCATCACCTCCGCCACGGTTAAGGACCTCTGGACGTCGAAGTCTGTCACGAACGCCAACAGCTACTCTGCGCAAGTCAATGCCCATGGTTCACTCGCACTTCGCCTCTCCAACATCAAGCGCTCAACTGCCGCAGGCGCGAAGTACAACTACGTCTCTGTCGCCACCGGCTCGCTGTCATCCGGCGCGAACCTGCAGTCATGCTCCGGCTGCACGTCCTCTAACAAGGTCGGCAACCTCGGCGGCTCCTCCAACGGCCGCGTAGTGCTTTCAAATGTCTCAACTTCCAAGGCCGGCACGCAGACTGTACTGTTCGACTACATCAACGGTGACGTCGGATACCTGGGAGGCAGCAACAACGAGAGGCTGGCATCCATCAGTGTCAACGGGGGCGCCGCGCAGACGGTCAGCTTCCCTCTTAGCGGATACAACTGGTCTGCAGATGTTTTCAAGGGGTACGCGGTTGAGTTGACAGGTTTCACGGCTGGCGGCGCCAACACCATTAGCATTTCTGGCGTGGGAAGTGCCTGGGCGCCGGACTTTGACCGGGTCGGTGTAGCTGCGTAGACGTTGCATGCACAGGAATCAAAGCTAGGAATCAATGACATAATGTTTTCCATTCATCAATGAACCCCTTGCCACAGTTCAGTGAGGTTGAAGAAGTATTGTGTTCAACTCACAAATGCATGTCAAAAGAGGAAACGGGGTTTACCGATCTGATGATTGAGCTATGTAATACATGTACCGGATTCCGTCGCAATGCATGGCCAGACAAATTACTCACCTCTGAGCCATACGCTCATCTCCCATTATTCCTCTTCCTAAAGTACTTCCCATTTCTCAACATCTAGAGCTGCAAGGTCATCACCACTCTGTGTCGCATGATGCTTCAATCGGACAACTTCGACTCCTAAATCCTCAAGCTGCCCGAAGAAAGGTGTTGGAGCTCGATGATTGCAAGCGATGTGCAGGTTTCGGAATTCCGGAAGACCACCACGTCGTATCCTAGTCACCAATCTGTCCAGTGTGTGGTACTCACGTCGGATGGTGTGATCCATCGGATTTCTCATGGCCTAGTTGCACCCTGGCAAGAATAGCGTACGCAGTGAAATCGGCAATGAATCGAAAAACTCCTCTGTTCGGACGGTCTCGTGTGGAAAGGGCGTGGAATGGTTGCGACAGAGGGTGTGGTTGAAGTCCAATCGCAAAGCATCTAGACAGGTGAGTTGTTGCAACAAATTCAGGCCATCCCACCTCCACAATGGATGCTCAATAGGCATAGTACCTATATCGATACTGAGTCGTAACCGTTTGAGAGTAGGTGCGAAAGGCTGTAACGAATCCAGCAAACTAGCTAATTGGCCCGGGTGCTGCGGCATGATAATCTGAATCTCTTCTAGAATCCTGCAGACTCTGCAAATCGACTTGAAATGGTCCACGAACGATTGTGTGTTACGCAGACTTCCCCCGATTCTTAGACTGGTAAGGTTTGAGAACAATTTAAAACTGGGCTCTAGAAGAGACCTGATTGGAAAGAAGCCGAAGAGACCAAGAGAGGTCAGGTTCGGCGCGAGTTGAAGCGCGCACCAGTATTCACTAGTGTGGTGGAGGAACTCCCGCCCTCCTCCTCCTGGAGAGTCCGGTTTGCCAAGGGTCAAGTGTACTAGATTTTCGAACCTGGTGCGTGAGTTTTGCGGCGATATCATTGCCGAACCACTGTCAGCGGCCAACAGGTTATTGAGAACTTCACCCGACTATCCTACTGACAACTTTGCGTGCTTCGCTCGAGGTGTGTATGCCAGTAATATAGTCGCCAAGAATGACTGGATTTCGTTGCTTGTGACAGTCCCCGACTGCGGCAGATTCATCGTAATTCCATGGCGGGGAAACTTGTATCCAAGCTCTTTACTTCTTTTTTCGAATGACGTCGTCGTTTCTTGATATCCACGCAAGGATCCATAAGAGAGTCCGTCTAGAGAAACAGATTCCACAAGTTCTCCGAGGCCAGGGCTCTCAATGAGAGAGAGACCTGACGAACAGCGGTAAAGTTTTCGTCGCCCTATAGTGTCGGAACAGAAACATCTGGCCAACTGCCCGCCATGCTGGGCCAATGAGACAGAAAGTCGAAAGATTTCTCCGGGCGAACAATTCCAGACCCTTCTGCCAATCTGATAGGTCTGAAGACTTATAGCCGGATTCGAGATGGTGAGCTATTCGAAGTAGAATCTCAACTGGTAAGTGTAAGCTTCTATGTCGGGTTCGCGCGCCCAATGTGCCACTTGTATGGCGAGATTCGTGGGACATATTTGCTTCTCCTAGTCTGGATGTGGTGGAAGTTCTCGAGTCCATTGTGCTTTCCAAAGCTACTAAGTAAGGAAGAAAAAGGTGGCCTAGTACTTCAAGCTTAGAAGAGTTCCTTGGGCGCTTGCCGCTGAAATTTCGCAGGAAGGACGTGTTTGCCGTGAGTTATTGAAGACAATAAAGCAGACAGTGGCCAAGCAATACCAATATCGTGTGGTATCTCCGGTATCAAACAGACACGGGGGGGGGGGGGGGAAGGGTCCGATCATCATCATCTCATCAATTTGAATGTGGGCACCTTTACAGTTCACGACACCTTGCAGTCACGTAATGGAGATAGAGACGTCTCCTACACGCATCGATGCCATGGGGAGTGAAGTATTCCGAGCGAAGGTCTAATATCGCTGTCATTTTGTACTTGATTTGTCGATGGTCTCACAGCAATCAGGAGTGGACGAGTTTCCGGATATCTTATCTTATTCAAATGATGCTAGGCTTTCCATCAACATCACTAGAGCATGACATATTTAACTAGTTACAAGTAGGATAGCCAAAAGTACCTACGTCAACCAAGACAAGGTCCCAATCAAGCTATTTGTGTACTCATGACTGCGTATCTAGCACGTGAACAGGCTAGGGCCGGGAATCGTGTAGGACTCAACCGGAGGCCAGTCTAGAAACATCCTTGTCAGTTGAAATTCGCTCGATAAGTGCCAAAGAAAAGAAAGTTGGAAGACGTACAGATATTGATTGTGACTCCAGGGTCGGTTCCCTACACAAGATGAGCAGTTAGTGGCCATACTCGAGAGTTGAGTTATTCGATGTCTAGAAGCAGAATTGCTAACCTTGTACGCGCCAGGCAAGCTGACAGTCGAGGGAGTCTTGGTACCAGTGCCTCCAACAACGTTGATCTGAGCACACTCCATGTAGAACTGGGCACCCGGGTAGCTGCCAGCACCGTGCAGGGCAATCATCTCCGCGCGAAGGAGATACTGGCCAGGAGCGATACACTCTGGGATCTTGATGCTGTGGCGTCCCTGGCCGTTGATCACCTTTTCGGTCCCCCAGACGCCACCACTGTAGCCATCCTGCTGGATCTTGAACCAGCCATCTCCGACGCCAGAATCGGTAGTAGCGTCGCTAACCTTCTTCAGATACGCGATGGTCGGGCCCTTGTGACTGCTGTCCATGACATCCGCGGGGGCAGAGCCGGTGGAGCTGAGCATGTAGCGCCAGATGGCGGTGACATTCTGCCCGGCCTGAACGGTGATGACCTTGGACGTGGGCGTCGTGGGATTGGGGGCGCCGTTGCACGCGAGAGAGTTGGAGGTTACGTCTTCGATAGGGCCGTTGTAGGAGGGAACGCGAACGCCGTTGCCGACGCCCTGGTTTGTGCCGCCGACCTCGAGAGACGAGAAAATGGTGTGGGCACTGGCCATGCTGGCCATCAGGAGAGGAATGAGAACCTTCATCGTGGGTTTGAGCTAGGCGTTTCTTGGGCAGAGAATGGCTGGATGAAAGAATGAATATGTGCTCAAACACGCTCGGCTTGATTAGGGCAGTGGTCAATAATGTAGAGATAAAGCAACGAACTGGAGGGGTATATATAGAAGTTTCTTTCCTACTTTAAACCATCAGATGCTGACATCGCGAGTTGTGCTTTTCTTTCCGGAGGGTTTCCTGTTCAGGGCGAGTTAGGCCAGCTGACAGGAAGCCAAGACTGCCACGCCGGCGACACACCGGCCGTGATGCTGCCATGTTACGACAGATAGGCGAATCGTCTGGCTTTATGAGGTCGGGAGGATCACCAGCCATGGCTCCGGGTGGATCGACGGAGGATGATGGTCCGGATTACACAGCGATGTTGGTCGGAACCGGTACCGAGACTCCCGTTCGTCGTGACCCAAGCCTCTGGGCATTCATTTGATTAAACTAATCTAATTCGTGCTTTTCTACTTGGCCTTCTACGCGTGGCGTGTCTCCGCCTGGCTCCTGGTTCTGCGTCTTATGGGTGCGAAGGTGTCCTGGGAAGGTGGTGTCAACGGTCAATTGCCTAAACTAGCAAGCCATTCGCAGGGATTAATTTCCGTGTAGCATCGATACCCTATTTAAAGTAGTTTGACCTCCACGCCCAGCTCGACGACTGGACGAATAGTGTAATCGGCACATTTGGAGAAGCCGATGGAGACTACATATCATTCAGCAATGTCGTGTTTGCGATGTGGATCAATAACCGACTTTTGACTTTCCTCAAGGCCAACTCAGTTGCTATTAAAACTGAAGCCTCCAAACTATCGAAACAATTCCTGCTCACTTATCTTATATACCTGTGTTACAGCAAGCACTCGCTTTTACAATCGATGTTCTCATTCGATATCCGACATCAAACATATATTAGACGTCATGGCAACGGAAACCCCATGTCTACACCACAAAACCTGGCTTATTCCGCCTGATCGTGAATAGGGGCTCTCAAGCGACTAAATCGATGGCAGACTTCCTTTTGCAGAAACAATTTACTTGTTCATTACCGAGAGAGATAGGCATTATGGCATTTGAGAATTAACCATGTCCAACTAAGGCTCTGGGCCAACACTTGCAGCCGTGTGGTCTTTCATGTCTTCGAAGAAAACATATCGACTCGAAGATTCATAGAAAAGCAGATTTGATACCAAATAGAGGAAAGGCGTACAACAAGAAATACGAGAGTTTGGCACCAGATTTGATCGATGTAGCTTCGAGAGGTCAGAGCTGATGAGGAAAATCGTCTCTAGCCGCATTGAGACCCGACGATAACAAAAGCTACCTTGCTGTGCGTCACCTAGTATTGTTGCAATGGCATAGCCGACGCGACTTGTGCTGTTCGCATAGCATCAGCTTTATCCGGTGAGCACCCAATTTCGACTCCCATTGATGAACAGTACAGCTACCCAAAGTCATAACGTTAGGGGGCTGCTTAGGTCATCGTCAATACCTAATTGAACTGTTTGACTTGCAAAAACGGTCGGCTAATATCTCACTGGGGTAAGCCACCAAGACGAAAAATCTAGATCGATCAACGTCACCAACTGGAATTGCTCGACTTTGCCTTCCCGGGTGGCTTGCTTAGTAGATCCACTAACTCGCCGGTTCCTGCACTAGACCACGCAAAGAGTCCTCGGAGCCCAGGCAGGGTGGGGATTTGGCTGAAGGATGCGGTATTAGTGCGATCGATGATTACTATTTTTTCGACAGAAATTCTCGGCCGATCTCCCGGCATCTTTGGCCAGATGGATGTGGACTTTTGCTAGCAAAACCCAACCAGACCATCAGATGGACGTGCTGGCAAACCGATTATTCTATGCATGGTACCGAACGAGAACTTGACTATTATGTCACCCTTAATGCGATTCCAACAGCATCGGGTCACGTTACCTGCAAGCTTGGCACTAGAGATGTGTTACGTAACACCACTTCCCCCTTTCTCAGATTGTCGTCTTGGCAGGCCAAGTGAGATTTCCAACTTCCTTACCGTGGACAGTGGAGTATCGTCCAAAGAAGCTTTACCAAGGCGTTGCATCTTGCAGCGCGCCTAGAAACAACCCTTCCGCGCCTCCGCATCGAGCCTTCTCAAGACGGGAAAATGGAGTCTTGATCAGGACTATTTCTATCACCGTAATGCCCTTGAGAAGTGACGGGGCAGAACTTCCCAACTTCACATTGTTTGCACACGAAAAGAGCCACGAGTCCTGTGGATACCTAGCAGATTTGCTCCCCGCTTCTCCCCATAAAACCAGGTTCACTCAGGATGAACCGTTGGACAGTAGAGCCTCACGCGGAAAGAGGAGGTCAATGCCCTTGCAATCTACCAATCACCCCGCCTGAAACCAAGCAGCGGCTGCCAACGAGAACGGGCTCGCGGCATTGCAAGCTTTGGTGCCGAGGGGAGTCACGGGAGGATTGTGCAGATCCAACAATCCATTCCGCGGTGTGCGCGGGAGCTCTCACCGGGGGAAAACCGAGCGGGCCTCCGGGACAAAGGTATCCACTGTTTGTGACGTGACGATCGAAATGAATCGGACCTTTAGCCAAACCGAGCGAGCTGAATTACAAAACAGAGTGCGGTGTCTTCGACTGTCCGCTTCAATTTGTTCCAAACTTCCAAGGCTATTCAACAATGGGTTAACTCAACGGTTGTGTCTCAGTTCAGACCGCTACAAAAAGCAAATGGCGGCCCGGTGAGAACGTGCCTCAGCTGCGGCACCTACTTAGTCCTAGGTAGGTGGGTAAAGATAGAAACCAACGAACACGAGAAACCACATGCATTTCTTTGTGTTCCCCAACAACTTGAGTCGGAGGGTGCCAAATGCACCTCTCGGCGGCATGCCTGCTTTAGTGGCGACTCGAGACCTCGAAGCGAGAAGAGAAATAGAGAGAGAGACTGCGAGACTGCGAGTGGTCTGGCCTGGGCCGGCCGGACAAGTCTGCGCCCCTTTCTCGAACCCACTTGGGTCGGGTGGAGGGTCGCAGTTTGGCAACCAAGAATTTCGACAAAAACTCCTGATTTGTTTGCCATGCGAACCCACTTGCCGCGTGGGAGGTTGCATTGTGCAGTCCCATCGAGAATTTCGATAAAACTCCTGGGTGTTTGCCATTGCGCCAGTGATTCATTTGCCTCCGTTTCTCTCTTCCCTTCCCCGTTGCGCGCGTAGTATCTTCTTTGCGAGTTTCCGGCCACCACATTCTTTTGATCAACAACCTTCCCACCCCTTCCACTCTTTTAACTTAGACTTATTCGTAAAGTTTAAGATCAGCAAACAACGATCCAGTTGATTATCATAATCGTTATTCAACGTCCGCTCTTTATACCGAACTTACAGTTAAACCTACCTGTAAATCCATACCAAGTCCGTCATAATGGCCGTCCGAACCGCCGAGGTAGCCGCCCCTGCCGTCACCACCGCACCGACCGGCACTCCCGTGCCCGTCGCGACGGTGGCACTCACGACGACCTTCACGCCGCCCGCAGAATGTACCGAGAACCACTTGACCATGTTGGTCGGCGCCCTCGAGAAGATCTGGATTAACGAGCCCGTACCTCTGCCCAACTCGACCCTCTCATCCTGCCATCCCACGCAATGGGTTAACGGCTACTCATCCGCCCTCTCCGCCTCCAGCTCCATCGCACCCTTCATGAGCCCTCTTGTCTGCCCGAGCGGATACAGCACAGAGAGCAGCACCTGGTCAAGCGGATACATTGCCTGCTGCGCTTCGTAAGTTCTCTCCAACCCTACAATCTGAGCCAAGAATAGCCAAGGTACTAATTATACCTAACAGCGGCTTCACCTTCGCTGCACCCGCCAAGACCGCCGACGCCGATCGCCCGGCGTACGGCGGCACATGTTACAGCAACTTCGATCTCAGCCAGACTGCCACCGTAACCGTCTACAACCCCGAGGAGCTCTCCACCACCATCGCCTGGGTCGCGACAACAACGCCCGCACAAGCCTACGCCCATCCCATCGATGGTATTGCAGCAGACTACACACCGGGCGCCTCCACCTCAGGCTCATCCGGATCAACGAAGACCAACTCTGCCGGCGTGGCTGTCGAGACGGACGAGAACGCAGCGCCTAGATTGGGAGGCAACTCAAGGGCGGCATTCATTGTTGGATTCTTGCTCGCGAGTGTGATGATGTGGTAAATTCCCACCAACTAGCCGATCCAGGCAGCCGGTTGTGATCAGCGACTACAACCATTATGTTACGACTTAAGATTCTGCTTCTTCAACTACCGGATTATCGAGGGAAAACGGCACTTCGCCAGGTCATGTCATTTTGCAATATTACGAAAGAATATTCTTTGGGTCTACCTTACCTCTCTAGTAGCATTTTATACTACATAATTTTCACCTAGCTCTGCGCAGCTTAACATCGTCATCGCGCGGGGTTATAGATCAATACCACCTCACACTCGCTCGCACACATGCACTGCTCGGATGTCCTGTGTGTAAACTTGCCGAACGCGGAGGAATGTGTCAAATGATTGAGGGAATGTAAGTGCGACTAAGTAGGACTAAATGACTGCGGCGTTACATACTCTGCCACCCCAATTCGACCAAGTAAGTAGATGTCAATCAAGTTTGGGAGATATCACATTCCGGAGCACACTGTAGGAAGCCTTCGATCGGACTTAGATCTCGCGTCATTCAAAGCTCGTCTTTGATCGCATGACGATGGTCAACAAGCGCCTCGTTCAAGTTCTCATTCGCCCCCGCCATCTTATGCAACTCTGCCCATCTTTCATCTTCGTCTTCGTCGTCAACAAGAACCGCCAACCTGCTGACGAACTCGATTAGAGTATTTCGGTCTGTGTTGAGCCAGGCAGCCTTCGCCATGCAATCAGCGTTCATGCTCGTCATGTCAACGAGACGCCAAATCTTTATGGCGGTGGAAACAAAGATGACTTACTTCGGCGTTTTGGATCACAACTCGCCTGGACTCGTACATCTCTTTTGTTTCTTGCGTCACCTTGAAGGTGCCCCGAACGCCAAAGATCTTGCACAGCGCTTTCCGAGCATGTTCCTGCTCCTCTTTTGTGTCCAACGACGCGTCGAGAAACGGCTTGAACTTGGAGGTGACATACGTAAAATTGGTCGCCTCGACGATTTTCGCCCATGTCGTCTGTGTCTCGTTGAGGGGCTCCGTCTCGTCATGGAACCTGTTAAAAGCTAGCTGTAACTTGTCGCCGGCGTCTTCCCATCCAGCCTCTTGCAACCGGATCTGGATGGTTCAATGGTGGTAAGTTACACGTACAAGAAGACAGACATACATTCTGGCTCAAGTTGCTAAGTTTCTCCTAGTCGGCGTATGGAATATACATACTTCAATCACATCGCGCGTACTAGCATATTTGTACAGGTCCATCCATTGGATGTCCTCGGCTTCTCGCCTCAATACAGTCCCATAAGCTGTATCAAAAACAGCCTTTGCTATTTCAATGTCGCTGAAGGAGTTTGAGAAGGCTGTGCCATTTTCTTTGGTCATTGAGGACTCGTTCCAAGGCATGTACATGTAAAAAGCCTGGTAGAGATGGAAGAGAATGTTGAACAAAAGGGAGAAGACATGCTTGAAGACAAAGCCACTGGTCCCCATGGTGAAGTTGCGGTGATGCTGTATTAGGATCAAATTGCATCAAGCGACTTTCAGTTGGAGTAGAAAAAGTAAGGTCAGTAAGCTGATCGGATGTAGGATTTCAGCGCAAACATGACGGACCTTGTAGCACTTAAGTATTTGGTATGGACAATGTCAAGCAGAGCAAACCACTTCTTTTCATCTTGGCTTGCAAGGCTTTGAGGCGTCAAATTGATAGAAAATGGCTATATTCCCACGCCCACTCGAACCAACAAACATCCACTTTTCCGCAGCATCCCAGCAAGGCGGCACCTCTCGTGAGGCACGTCCGTCAGATGCAGTTAGCTCAGGGCCCCCTGCAACCATCACAGGAAAGGTCGATGCCTTATCATTGGCCTACACACCTTTGTAGGAGTTCTATCCTAGCATCTTCAGGTACGTAACTGTCAGGAAGGCAAGTGGGAATGATGCGGTTTGTAGGCAGCAGGCTGCAAACGGGCATCTGGTGCCTCTCTGGTCGGGCACATAAGACGCTTGTAAGTACGTACCTCAAGCTTGATATGATACCTCGTGGCTCAAGGAGGCTGTCCGCCATGCACCGCTGCCTTGGCGTAAGATTCGGAGACAACCGATAGCAGATATTTCTTGCCAACTTGGGTGAGAGGCATTAGATACGCGACATCGGAAAGCGCAGCGGGCAAACGATTCTTGGACATACCTTTCAACCGAGTTCAGCATTATAGCAAATAGATATATCAATGCATGTAAGCAAGAAAACATTGTAGGCTCTCACCACAAGATGTGGGCGTAGAACATGAGGCAGAACTTCGTTCAATATTCTCATTGCTGAACTCTTGCGAAGTTTCGGATCCTCCCTTCTAAACCTCACCAGCGACCTTCATACATATCCCTTCAGTAATCTTCCAACCTGCCAACATCAAAATATCCGGATGCAGAAGCTGAAGCAGCGGACGTGGCTGTGCCTCAGAATGACGCCTCATCGCGCTTGGCAGAAACCTCACAAGCGGAACTTTGGTAGAATGCCTACTTCTTACGCCCAGAACAAAGTTCCTTGAAAGTAGTCACCAACTCACGACTCGAAGATTGCGTCTCGACTGAATGCAATAAGGATCTACTTTCACGGGGTTTTGACTCTCATAGTATGAAGAGCTATGTGCTTCAGAGGCTATCCTCGGACTGAATTCCCCTTCCCACCTTCACTCTTCATCATGCACTTTTCTAGTGGAGCTGCACACAGACAAGATAGTGAAGTAGGTCTAAAGTATCAACCACCAAAGGTTACTCGACTCCCGAGGAACCGAGGATTCGCACACCGAGTAAAAGGCGCCTGTGTCATCCCGCAGTTGGAAATATACGGGCCCGGGATTCGTTAGCGCAATGCCTTGACCCGGCCCGGGTCAGAAGCTCTTGGGTTGACTACACTAACCCCCACTCCGAATGCGGGGAACGTTGGCGGCTTGACCATGCACAAACTTTGCGGGGAGCAAATGGGTAGGTCTCAAATGATGTCAGCGGTGAGTACTGCAGAGATATCTTTCATCCACCCTGTAGTCAAAGCAGGCTTATACGTGGAGTATCACGATTACCCTCGGCGCGATTTGCTTATCCAAAAAGAAGCCGTTACCGCCGACAACAAGATAAAGCTCTTCTGTTGCTTTCATGTCGGTAGAAGACTCCTCGCCATGCTCCCCGCGTGTCAGCGCCACCACACGACCACGCAAGATTTGGACCCCTGAAGAAGATGTGACATTGAAGACGCTCGTTTCTCGCTACGGAGACGCACGAGGCCCCCAGGGGCATTGGAAGGATATTGCCGCAGCGCTCCAAGACCGCACTGCCAAGGTTAAACCCACTCCACCTTCCAGAGGCAAGATGGCTCATGAGGGCTAACAGATCACAAGGACTGTCGAAAGCGATGGTTCCACTCCCTTGATCCGTCTATCAAAAAGGGTCGATGGACAGCACAAGAAGATCAGATTCTCTTGTCGGCTTACGCTCGAATGGGCCCCGCATGGCACGATATCGGTATGCTAGACTTGCCCAATATCCGTGTGTGATCTCGTCTACTGACCCTGGCCTCTTTGCGTGCGAAGCCCTCCTCATACCTGGGAGGAAGGATGACCAATGTTCGAAGAGATACATGGATATCTTGAGTCCAAAAGTCAAGGACCGCCTTAGCGGATGGTCCCCGCAAGAAGACGAAGTTCTACGAGAAGGTGTTCGGACGCTTGGTCACCGGTGGTCTGCTTTATCGGCAAAGCTGCCAGGCCGGCCACCTCTTACCTGTCGTAACAGGTGGCGAGCATTATCGAAGACATCGAAAAGGCCTATGTCTACAGCAACAACTCTCTCAAGGTCATTTGTCGCAACGAACAGTGGCGATGCTACGACATCAGATACTCCCGAACCCTCCTTAACCTCGCTGCTCGTAGCAGCTAAAGCTGATGTCGACATCAGCAACGTCATCAATGTTGATGATGTAGCCACATCTTTGGTGGGAATGAGCGCTGGACCACATGCGGACGACTTTCGCTTCGTCGGTGACGCAGCGTCATACAATTTTATTCTACACCAGCCCCAAATCAGCTCAACTATTCGACCGAGCTTGGATCTTGGCCACGTATCCGAGCCGCTGCACCAGTCTTCAACAGAACCCATCTCAAACAGTTACAAAGGCGCTCTTACAGCACCGAGATCAAACAGGCTTGATATTGAGATGCCGCAAAATCAAATTAGCCAATCCTCTACGGGGCGCAACTCAGGAAAACTGTTCCCAGTTTCAGATATCACTCCGGAGACTCAAGCCTCGCCACCAGATCCAAATTGCTTAAGCATGTCGCCATCTCAGTACCTCCAAATCTTCTCTGATGACAATCTACCAAGTCAGTCGACGGGTCCTGCTATGGACCCAGGCCCACTACGACAAGTTGTACACCACCACCACCATCATTATCACCACCACTACCATCATCATCACCATCATTACCATGA